ATATATATATATATTTCTAGAAGAAGAAAAAGAAAGGAGAGAAAAGGGAATCTCTATTTGTAGTAAGGGCCAAAGAGAAGATTAATATTAAAAAAAAAAAGTAATATTAATCTACTTGCTTCTTTGGTGTAGTTTTTTTTTATTATTTTATTCCCTTTCTCCGTTCCTATTTTATTTGTTTGGCGTTATTCAATATTAGCGTTTGTTTGTTTTTTTTTTTTTCTGTAAAGGTATTGTATTCTCATTTATTATATTTTATTTTATTTATTTATTCTTCTGATCTCCCGGCGCCTCTTGGAATTCATCCATTTTACACCCCAATTGTATGCCAAAGTACCCTTTATCAGCAGTACCCAAACAACAACAACAACAACAACAATCTTCTATTGGAGAGAAAAAGTCATCTTCTTTATTAAATGATGTGAATGTGTGGGAACCCAACAAAGTACTCACTCCACACATCTCTGTACGATGTTGTCCGTTAACAACGGAAGAGTGTCGCACGTTTGCTGTCTCTCCACCGTACTCCTCACATGGAAATAATAATAATAATAATAATAACTCCATTATCGCCATGTATCCTATTGCTGTGGAGAAGCGATTATCATCATCCAATAGGAATTCAGAGAAAAAGGAGGAAAAAGGGGGTATTGGAATTATCGTCACAAGTCCAATGGGTAAAGGGACCACAGAAAGGCATGAATTTCCATCTGTGTTTGATTACGTATTCTTTCCACAAACCGTAGAGTGTTTCATACGATTACGACAAGAGTGGAAACAGTCTTTTCCTCTTCATTCCCATACTACTCATACTCATAATAATAATAATAATACTAATACTAATAAATCTAATAATAGTAATAGTAATAATACTATGCGTATGAGTATGGGAATAAGATCAGAGATGGATGGGGATATGTGTTGTTATGAGACTCTACTGGATTTGAGTTCAGTGGTGGGTGCAGATGCCGCTTTGGCTGCACAAATAATGAGAAACGCAATTTGCCCGAGTCGTGGATTTCGCCCGGCACCACTCTCACAGTTTGAGGGAATATCATTGTTTAGAAAGAATGAAGAAGATGAGGAAGAGGCCGCAGAACTTCAACGAGATGTGGAACAGATGGCCTTTATCGATCCCCTCTGTACATCCAAGTCTATAAAGGGAAGTAACTCTCCACGGAGTACACGGCAAACTCATCGTTCACCATTACTTATATCCTCATCTTCTTCTTCACCTTTATTATTATTACCATCAACCACATCTATTGTGGATGCGGCTGCGGTAGTAGAGGCGGAAATGGATGTAAATCGTTTTCTCTCCATGGATGATGAAGATAAAGCTATTGTACCGTTGTTAACAGATGGTCATCATATCGCTGTATTAACATATGGTCCTCCACAGAGTGGAAAGACGTATACACTCTTTAGTGCGAATGGAATTATTACTCATGTTGTGCGGGGACTTTGTCAACAACGTTGTCGATATCAGACAATGATGGGAAAAAGTATACCTGCAGGAATGAAGGAAGTCTGTTATGATAATCCTATACGGGTGGCATTAGTGGCATTTCAAGATGATCTCTCATCTAACAGTAGTAGTAGTAGTAGTAATCATCATAATAATAATAATAATAATATGGATATGGATATTAATAGTGATAGTGATAGTGGTCATGGGATATTTTCATCTGTGTTTGTGTATGATTTGTGGAATCCCGCATCCTTCGCTGCTGTCAAACGTACAGTCTCTCTCACTCGAACAACAACAACAACGAAAAGAAGAAAAAGAACTGAAACATCAATAAACACAAGTAACCGTACAGAAAGAGAAGAAGAGGAAGAAAAGGAAGACTCTTCATTATTATCTCCTCTATTAGTGGAGGGTGCTATTTGGTTAGATGTGTATACAGAAGAAGAAATGATATTTTATCAACAAAGTGGATTAGAGCACCTTTCACTTCTCCGTGAGAAACTCCACACACTTGCGGTTTATACTCCATTACATATTGCCCTCTTACTTCGTACCGCTATTGGTGTGGGTATGAAAACTGTAAATAGCCCCACTGAAGGAGTAGCGACAGTGAAGAGAAGCAAAAGTAATAATAATAATAATAATGATAATAATAATAATAATAATAATAATAATAATAATAATCCAACTCTACAAACAAAACAACAACAACAACAACAAAGAGAATTACCAGTTTCTCCTGTTTATCATGCAGAAGGTATATTTATTGAATTACAATGGACATCACAAGTTGCCGATGGAAGTTTACTTCGTTCTAGTTTAAAACAACAATCCTCTTTCTCATCTATGAAGACGACACCAAGTACACTCTCACTATTATTAAAGTCTGTTCAATTTGGAAATGCGAAACTCTTTCTTATTGCAACTATACCTGCCTCTTCACTACGTGTATTGGATACGATAGATACACTTCAAACAGCAGTGGATTGTAAATCCTTATGTCAACATCCATTACGTTTATTTGTGCCTTCTTTGTTAGATCCTGTTGTGGTGATGCGTCGGGAATTAGAAGCCATCACGGCGAAACTGAAAACTATATCGGAGTTAAAGAAAGATCATGACAATAATAATAATAATAATAATGATAGTGGTAGTAGTAGTAGTAGTAGTGATATTGATATTGATATTAATAAGAAAAAGAATATAAATGATACTATTACAGCTTCAGAGTGGTATCATCGTCGTTTATTGGTGTTATCATCATCTATACAACAACTAACAGCAACACCAGAAGAACGTCAATTATCACAACAACAACTTATTTCATCATGGTTAAAGACCACACGTATGCTGCGAAAAGACCTTGTACAAGCCTGGATGAATTTAAAGAATAAACGTTATCTTTCTTTTACCGTATCCAGTAAAGAAGAAGAAGAAAAAGAAAAAGAAAAAGAAGAAGAGGGTTTATTTACTATGGGTGATCCAATATTAGAAAAACCACTAAAGCCATTTCTTCTTATGCTACCAGCTCCCACTACAACTAATACTATTAATACTAATACTAATCTCCATCATGGTGAGTTCAACACAACACTTGCGGCTACTGAAACAACTGCACTTCATCAATCATTACAAGAAATAGGAGGAATGGATACATTACCTGTTTTTTATGATATGAATATAATCCATATTAGTGATGGGGCTCCTTCTCATCCCTCACTTTCTCTCTATTTCTCATCAACATCCTCGTCCAGTGTTTCTTCACCTTTATCACAGTTTACACGAGTAGCGACAACGAGAAGAAACGGCGCCGTCTTAAATGATTGGCCTTTACCAAAACAAAATAGGAGAGATGATGATTGGATAGTGGAATTGTCTGTTGAATGTACTGTATTTGGAGAAGTTTTTCTTACTGCTTCTCTACGGCGAAATATTCCATTAGTTACTACTTCTACTTCTACTTCTTCTACTTCTCTCGATTTATCTATACCACCGCTTCCACCTCCTGTTCATATAAACGGTCATTCTATTCCATGGGGATCTTCACAAAACCCGCATGCATTTCATTCTAATTCTGTTGCTGTTTCTATGGGAATATCATCGGATTGTTTTTGGGTCCCACTTTCACCTGGTTCACGTATATCTATTGGGCCGTATGTGTTTATCGTGATAGTAAGAGTAGAAGCACCGTCTTTACTTTCTGTATCTCTTCCTTCAAAGATAATAATAACAACAACAGAGTTGGAGTTTATTTCAAGAGGACGTTTAATATTATGGGAGTGTCGTTGTCGTTTGGAATTATTTGAATGGCATCGACAACAATTACAATATTTTCTTAATGTTAAACAACAACAATGGCAACAGGTCCAACAACGTCAAAAGAGGAAGAAACTTATATTTGGTGATGGATCTTCATCTATGCGAAGGGCTAATGGAGGAGTGGAATCTCTATTAGTGGAGGAGAATAGACAACGACTACGACTTCGTTGGGCATATGTAGAACGGGATTTACTCCTATTATATCATACAGTTATGCAAGAATGTATACTCGCGTGGAGGCGACTGATCAACAGTAATAATAATAATAATAATAATAATAATAATAATAATAATAATACATATGAAGTGAAAAATAGAAGAGAAAAAACAATCATTCCATCGCCTTCCGTGTTATTCCCATTAGAGTGGATGCCTCCTACTCTTACTGAAAGTATATATACTAGTACTGATAGTAGTATAAAGATAAAGAATTTCGGTAAACTGAGTCCTCAGTTAGATCTCTTGCTAAGATGTGTATCACAAGAACTCATGACGAGAGAGGTAATACCAAAGAAATATCTTTTTACTCCAAAACAACATGGCACTCTCACTCATTATACTCTTGGTAATAAAAACTATAGCCAAAGTAACCATACTCATACTCATAATAATAATAATAATAAATATTATGATATGAATTCAGATGCAAATTTACTTATGACAACATTGTATATACGTGCTTGGGAAGAGATTAGCATTCATGGAAGCTCTACGTATACCAAACCAACTGGGACTCTCACCACTATTCCAAAAGAAGAAGAAAAAGAAAAAGAAGATGTGAATTTAGAGGAAAGTACAGAAAGTGAAGGATTTGATGATTTGAGGAAGAAACAAGAGAGGTCTCTACAAATACGAGAACTCTCTCCAGAAGAGTTGTGTCGTGAATGGGATTCACTGGATGAATATTTGAGTATACAATTAGATAGGAATCTAAAGATTGAAAAAAAGTTAAAGAAACGTGCTGAGAAGAAGCAATTAACTGTAGCACCTGTTGTACGTATGCCTCGTGAGAATTTTATTTATCCTAATAATCTTATAAAAGTACGTTCATTACTTGAAAACAGTGGAGGATATATATGTTTACTTTATCCTTCTCTCTCTATATCATCACTTATCCCTGCAATGCTGCTGTGCAGATCGGATATAAAGAATGATCTCAACAGTAATAATGATCATCATCATCATTATAACAGTGTGGAGAAGTTTGATTCTATGGATATTGTAACGGATGCTTTTCCCTCATCTTTATATGTAATGCCCTCTATTCGGGAGTTACCAGCAGATCGTCAACTTCGTCGACTTCTCGCCTTTCCAGAGGAACGTGATTTTCATTTACATAATTACAAACAAAGTCTATTATTAGAGTTACTTAAATTCTTAAAAGAGGTGGAGCAATCACGATTGTGGAAACCAGATGGACCAACAGTTCCTTTACATAAGAATGAATATGAAAACATCATCTCTGGAAATGGTCCAAGTTTCCGTGAAACTATTGATCAAAACGCTATGAAGGAGAAGGAGAAGAAGAAAAAGAAAAATATTTCAGAAGCGACATCTAAATTAACGAAAGGACAAGAAAAATCAAAGGAAGAAAAGGAAAATGATGAAGAAGAAGATGATGAAGATGAATGGGAATATGAAGTGGCTGCACCTTTTTTAACAATTCATTCATTATGTGTTTTTGATCATTTACACCGTTTAAAACAGACAAAAACGGATCTTCTTTCTACTGGGAAAACTACAATATTTATACCAACAACAGCCGTTATACGTGGTCACTTTTTATACTACTTTGATGGGGAGCATAGACCACAACTGGGAGATAAGGCGAAAGGTGGATGTTATCTCCTTGGAGCCACTATAGTCGCTATTACAAAGTGTACATTAAATGAAAAACATAGTGAAGTCATCGCAGAAGCAGAAATTACAAAAACAACAACAACAATAGAAGGAGCAGCAGCAGCAGTAGAGGGAAAGAATGAACTCACACTGCAGAGTAAAAATTCGGAATCTTCTTATGCTAATAATCAAGAAGGTTTAAGAGAAGTACTTCAAGCTGCAGATGATTTTAATAAGGGATCTAAACAAGGTTTATCACAGAAACCGTTTCTGTCTTTTCCTAAATCTGGTACAAGTCATCAAACAGAAAAAAACAAAGAGGAAGATGATCCTACGAAATCTCATTCATTTTTAAAACGAAATATCACTTTCTTTACAAGTGGTCAAAATCCTAAACGTTTTGATATTAACCATAACAATAAGAGTGATGGTGATAGTGATTTAAGTCATTTCATTGAGATTATTCCTTCTGTTCGTCGAAGTGGTGGTGGAAATCATCTCTTTGATACCCGAAGAAATCATCTCTTGCTTGGATTTCGCAGCTCTGAACTCTGGCAACAGTGGAAGATGTGGTTAAATCTCGCCTCTATGCCGCTTCCCTCTCCACGACTGCAGAGACACTTTGGACCACATCGTATGGAAGAGGCGGCTATTGCGGCCTACACCGAATTGCAGTTGGCTCGACTGTGGGAAAGAGAAAAAAAGGGAAATGTCTCTATTCCACAGAAAATGGTGATTTCTCTTTGGGGTGAAAAGGAATTTCATGATAGTGGACGTGCAGTGGGTTTAACAGCACGTGAACTTCGTTGTGTGTTGGCGGTGGTAGAAGAAATATCCTTATCGTATGTCTATCTTCAACTTTTAGAAGAGAGAAGAATAATAGTAAGGAAAGGAAGAGAATCCACCTTCTCTTTGGGTTTCTCTGCAAAGAATAGAGATGATGAATTGCAGGAATTGTTAGACTCGGAATTATTGTTTGAACCCATTAAAGGATTTCCACGAGGATTTCTTCGTTCTCGCTATCGTCGTGAGAGTTCTGAACTTCATTTAGGCCTTGGCCGTGCCCTGCATAAACTCTTTAATCCATTAGAGGTCAAAGAGGAAATAGCCTCTAATGAGTATACAAGAAGACAGTCTTCCATGTTTATATCAGAAGAAGAAGAAGGAAAGAAAGAAGAAAAAAAGGAAAAAGAAAAAAAAGAAGAACGGGAAGATATTGGGGCTCTTGCAACTCCTTCATTGGTACTCCCATTAGGGGCGATTCCTTTTGCGAGACAACTTCGAACATGTTTTGTCACTCATGTACGACGTAAAGGGATTGGCAATTATAGTAATCATAGTAATAGTGTGAGTGGTGTTAACAGGAGTAGAAATAATAATAATAATAATAATAATAATAATAATAATAATAATGTTTCTACTCTTTCTCAAACAGTGGATTGTGCCTCTTCTGTACTGAGGCAATATTCTAACAAACAGAGAAATAATTATTCTACTCCTATGAAATTTAATACAAGCAGAATGTCAGGAAAGAGAGAAGATATACAAACTAAAGAGGGAATAAATAGTGTTTATACCAGTAAAGAAGAAGAAAAAGAAGAAGAAGAAGGATATTATAATGAAGATATTCCTATTAACTGTCGAACCCCATTTCGTCATTTTAGGCTTCTGGATGTGGAGCGAATTCATGCAGATCGTTATGCCTCACATGTGTGGTTTATTGATTTATTTAATGGAACGATTGAGTGTACAACGAGTGCACCTGCAGAGGAAGATCCACGTCTACGTCGAGATGGTTACATTCGTTCAGCTGTTTATCAGAGTTATGAATTACTTCATGTAGGACGTTGTGATTCTTTTACTGGAGAGGATGAAAAAGATGAAAAGGATATAATGGAAAGAAAGAGAAAAGGAGAATCTGTTTCTACACCTTCAACATCATCCTTTTATGGAGTTACGATTGTTTTTTATCGTAATCATCATATAGTTTATAATGACTACTTTGATGACTTGATGGAACGGGAACGTTTTTTGGAATCTGTTTCTATACTACGTCCAACGGTGCGAAGCTTTGTTCCTGCTTTTACAATCTCATTACCCCATCACAATCTATTTCAAGAAAATCCTCTTATTTCTAATAATAATAATAATAATAATAATAATAATAATAATAATAATAATAATGAGGAGAGTGATGATGATGATGATGATTTGTTGTTGGCTGAGTTAATGGGTGAAGGGCCATCGGTGCTCTCTCATACACCGTGTAGTAGTGATGTCCATCTCTCTGCAGTATTGCCCACTGCTCCCCTCACGAGTGTCGCCTGTTTTTGGTTTGCAGTTCTGCAGCAAATGCAAGAGGATGATATTCTGTTTACAAATACAACATCCACTATATCAAGAACAAAACCCGTATGGTGGTATAAACTACATCAGCAGAATAATAATAATAATAATAATAATAATAATAATAATAATAATAAGAAACAACATCAATATGGAGATGAAAAGGCATGGAATATTAGAGTAGATGCTACTCTCTCTAATAGCAGTGAATATAAGGCAAAGAAAGTTCAAGGCCTTGCCCCGTTTGCCTTAAGGGAATATACCAAAAAGGATGAGAATATGGAAGAAAAGGGTTTAACAGATGAATTAACGAAATTACAGGAATATTGTAATTTACTGGACTCTATTCTTGAGGATGGTCCATTCTCACAACGACAAGTAAAAAATAATAATAATAATAATGATGAAAAAACGTTTACGGTAAAATTAGAAGGAGAGTGTGGACTTCAGATTAGTGGGGAATCCACCTTGCCTCTCACTGTGTGGACAGGCACTGTAAATCTCGAGGGAGTTCCAATGGAGAATTCAGAGTCGCTGCGTAAATGGCTGGAGTTGTTATCCCCAAAGTGGATGAAGAAACGCATGGCCTCTGAGAAGAGGAAAAAGAAGAAACAACAACAACAACAACAAGAAGAATATACTACTAAGGAAGATGTTGTAGACTTTCTCTTTGGTCGTGACTCTTCAGAGAAGGAAACAGGACAAGAAGAAAAGAAAGAACAACAAGAACCACAACAGCAACAAGAGCAAAGACAACGGCAAAAGAAGAACAAGATGGAAGGAAAGTGGTGGAAAAATGTAGTGCCATGGGCAGGAACCACTACGGCTTCACCTTCTCACTCTGTAGATCCTATAAGGCGTGGGGGAAAAAACATTAATCATATCTCTGGATATCTTGAAGGAAAAGAAAATGTAGGAGATGGAAATGTCATGTTGTATGATATCATTGCCCTTACTGTACAGGAATTCTCTTTTCATCACACACCAGATCATTTTATTGCCTTTGTACAAGGTTGGTTTGAGGAACAGGGATATGTCGCTTTAGCTATTGTATCTTTAGATGCATCTGTTGTATTATTTGTATTGGCGAGAAAATTTGTGGCTTGTCTGTGTGGAGCTGTACGTACAAAGAAGATTCCACTCACCTTCTCTGCACTTCATGGAGAACGTGGGGCGGTTGTTGTGACGATGGAAGTTGGATCTTCACCGGTGTGTTTTATTGCCCTTTACTTGCCTACATTAGCATCTCATACAGTACTTCAACCTTTAGCGTTAGCAACACAAATTGCTTTTATTCGTGAAGTGTTAATGCATATTCCAGGTGGTGTTCGTGGAAGTTTCTTACAATCACAACAACAACAAGAAGAACAAGAACAAGAACAAGAAAAGGGTTTACAAACGATGGATGCACATGATGCTGCTGTGTTAAGTGCGTTACGTCGTCAAACGAGTACTGTAGATGGATTGGAGTATTATGATTATCTCTTTTTAATGGGATATTGGGGTATGCCATTATTTCTCTCTTCTTCACATGAAGAAGAAAAGAAAGAAGAAGAAGATGAAAAAAAAGATGTTGGAACCTCTATGGTTTTGGTGGAACTAATGGAAAAACTCCAATGCGCTCTTGCAGAAGAAGAGAAGGAAGAAAAAGAAAAAAGAAAGAAAATTCATGAATATGAACGAATTGGGGATATACATGATTGGAAAAGAAAAATGATGATGAAGATGAAGAAGAGTCCTCATCATGGTTTATTCCCTGTTGTGAATGAACTATTATGTAATCATGATATATTAACGCTATTACGAGATTCCTCATTACTCCTCTCGCCCAAGTCTGGTTTAATGGAGGCGATGCCGTTATTTTTTCCAACCTCCAGAGTTATTCCAGGAACTACACATTACAGTTTACAACTTATTCCTGAAAAGGGATATAAAAAAAACAATACAGAAAATGCTCTGGAAGCGGATGGAGTCCTTTTCTCATATTCTTCTCGTATACTTTATAAACAGCAGCAAGAGGGTGAAATAAAATTACTGAATCGACTCCTTACACCACTAGCATACGGTACGGTCCCACCACTACCATCATCCACTCCACATATTCTCAAACTTTGTAAATCACATCCACAAGTTAATATACGCAAACAGAATAAATTGTTAAAGAAAATACGAAAAAGCAAACGAACTGTAGTATCCAAATCAAGAGAACAACTTCTTCTTTCTAGTCATTTACCCGTTTGTGCGGCATTTACTATGCATATACTACGTCCTTGTATTGGTGGTGCACTTTGGCAAGAAGAACAGGCCGCACAACCGGCGGCTGGTCAAGTCTGGTGTTTACGTCTACGTCGTCTCGCTATTGAAATACCAGAGAAAAATGGACAAACTTCATCTTTACTAGATGAACGTTGTCTTGCTATTGTTATACAGTTTGTTCCTTTTCTATCTCATCCACTTGTAATTATGGCTCGTGAGAGGATGATGATGGGGGAGACAGAAATGGGAAGAAGAACCATGGGAACAACTACAAGAGCTATTTTACGTTATCGACAAACAAAACGGACGGTAAATATTCAAGAGAATACATATATCTCTCCTCACATAATGCCTTTAGATTCATTAGATTGTATGATTGGTGATTACACAGTGGATCCAGCCATACCAGTACAATCAAGAGATAAAGGTTCAAAAGCGACAACAAGTGGTTCACTACCTTCTTTACCGTCAACGGCACTTGCAGAGATTTCCCTCGTGCCGCATCATGCGGTTAGTCTTGCTCATGCCAAAATGCTTTTATCTATTTTTGACTACAGCAACAGTAAAGAAGAAGCGCATCTTGTTGGGTCGGCAACACTACCACTTGTGAATATTATGCACGCTACTGTAGATCATGCGGCTGGTGGTGGTAGTAATAGTAATAGTAGTGATGATGTTGCTACTGTATTAGAGCCTACAGGGAGGCAGAGAAATAGTACCTTAAATGTACCAAATAATAAAAAGATACCAGCAGAAGATGTGGAGTTAAAATTGCCTGAAATTTCTTTACATCGATCTGGACAGTGTGTTGGTAGTGTTGTTGTTATTTGTTCTCCTCTCATGTGTACCCCTGCTTCAGCTAATACTGTTGTTACTACTGTAGATAATGATTATGATATTCTGTAAAGTAAACCCCATTATGCACTTTTCTGGCTTTCTATGTAGGTCTGTTGTTTCTATCTATCTATCTATATATATATATATATATATATATATCTTTTTCACTGCAGCTTCCACAATTGGCGTTGTTGCAGTGGAAATGAGAGAGTATTTATTCATTTTTTTTTTCCATTTTTCGTATTGTTTTTTTTTTTTTTCTCTCCTCTCTCTTGTTACCATATATATATATATATATATATATATATATATATATATGAGTTTATTTCTTTCCTGTTGACTGTTTTTCTTATCTTGTTGTTTTGTTTTTTCTCTTCTTTTTCTTTTTTTTTTTTCTGATGATCTCTCTCTTTTTGTTTCAGATTACTTTTTTCTATTCGAGTGGACCGTGTAAAGAAGACCACCAGAAGGTACAGAAAGAAAAAGAAGGGAAGAAAGAGAAAAAAGCATCCACTCATATATACATATATATATATAGAGAGAGAAAAGGTAAAGATCAAGTGAAGGGTGAAAAACAAAAGGAAAAAAGGGAAAAAAAGAAGTGAAGAATTAAAAAGAAACAAGAAAAAAAAAGTAAAGTAAACAATCAAAAAAAAAGGAAAAAAAAAAGGACTTGTATTCGCCCACGTACACGTACATTATACATTCACTCATACATATACATACATACTTACATACACATACAGAAAACAACAAAATAATTGTGATTTCTGTACTTCTCCGCGAACGATAATAAAAAAAAAGAAAACAAAGAGAAACTTAACGCATAGAATATTATATATATATATATATATATATATATATATATATATTTATTTATTTATTTATTTATCTGCACTATTGTCATCAAGAACAGTAGTAGCAGTATAAAAAAAAAAAAAGTAGAATAAGAAAGAGCATAAAAAAAGGGAAGGGAGAGAACAAAAAAGAAAAACGATAGTGACCAGATAATAAGATGCTGCGTCGTCGTCTAATTTTCTCTACCTCCACACAAACTACCTTTGCTGGTGCCCTTTCAGCAACAGTGGAAGCCCATGCCACCTACAAGAGTGATGCTATTACTACCTTAACACACAGTACTATTACAAACATCTCTTCAAGTCCCTCTCACTCTCTGGGTAAGAGTAAAGGCAACAGTAATGGTAATGGCTGTCCAACACCGATATTTATCAGCTGTAGAGCTCACTTCACAACATTACCGCTGTTGGCTCCATCTACAACCCGCACATTACCCGCCTCACCCCATCAGTGCTCTGTTGAACAGGTATTGCTTCCCAATATACAAACTAATGAGAGTGGTATTCGTACGGAAACGCTTCGTGGAATGGTGCAGTTATTGCTTGAGCCAGATGCCACAGATGTGGAAGATGTCTCTATGCTGGATTTTGTGGTCATGGTGCCTAAACGACAACTCGCCGCCCTTCGTGGACGTAAAGAATGGCTTGAAGTGGTGTTAAGTTCGGAGCGTTATCAGGCATGTAAAGATGCCCGAGCACTGCGACTGGCGGGAATCACCACACTTGGGCGATGGGATGAGAACCGTGAACGTGTGCCAGTCTCACCGTATTCACGTGGTTTATTAGAAGATGCCTTTGCCGCCATAGCTCGACAGCCAGTGGAATCGCAAAAGGATCAAGTGATCACATGGTTAACGAAAACCATTCAAAAAGCTGTTATTGAGGAGTTTGCAGCTAATAAGGGAAATCGAAAAGTACTTGCCCCACTCATTACAGGTATGCAGGCACTTCCAGAGACTGTGGCTGCCGCTGCTGCTACGATAAAGGAAGATGAATCTCAACAACGGCTGGAGGGGACGAAGGAAGAGAATGATACAGCTGAAACATCAGAGTGGGAAAGTAGTAACCAGAAAACGACTAAGGCTACAAAGAATCGTGGGAAAAAACAGGCAAAACATGTTGAAGAAGATCATGCCGAAGGCGCAGAAGCAACAACAAAAGCTGTGGAAAGTGAAGATGTTTCTAAAAAGGATAATGCAACAGCCTCCATGGAAGATGATGAGGATGCTGAAATTGCAAGGCTTTTAAAAGAAACCGAGCAGGAATTTGCTCCAACCCCATATGTCCGTGGAAGCAATGATACCAATAAGACATCATCATCAACAACAACAGCATCCACTGGAGGAGCAGCAGCAAAGACTGATAGTGATGACTACTCCAGATCTGGTAAACTAAAGAAAAAGAAGGGCAGCGAGGCTCTTACAAAGAAAGCTGAACTACAAAAACAACAACAAGAGCAAGAGCTAGAGTTACCGGATGAAGATGATGACATGGAAATGGATGAAGCAACGGAGAAAGGACAAAAAACACGTGGTGTTACCGCTGCTGATACAGTCCCATCTGATGCGAAACAAAACAGATCATTAGCTCGTCTGGCCGAGTTAATGCTTACTCAATTTAACAGTGCCGATGGCTATCTTCATATGTCTGACATTAAAGATGATGAAAAAAAAGGATTTGTTATTGTGGTTGAGGGTGATATGGCGCAAGTGGACCCATTCGCTCTCTACAGTACCTTCAGTGCTGCCAAGGTAACCGATGGTGATTCACGTGAAATTCTCGCACTTAAACAAGTTTGTTCAGCTTATAATACATACACTGAAGCACATGATGCTGCTAATGATGAGGCGACAGCAAAGTTTTATAAAGAAAAGGGTGTAGAGGCACTGGTGCATGGCGCAGTATTACTTCGGGCAATCTCACGCGAACATCCAGTTACACTAGAACCTCGTGATATTCCTGCCTATGGTTTCCCGCTTCTATCATCAGACCGTCGTCCACATCGCGTACGACGCAATAAAGGAGCTACAGATATGACAGCTGAAAAGGTTGAAGAGGCTGTTAAAGCTTATACTTCATTTTTTGCTACCAAGAGTAAGAGGTTTACACCTATTCGTCCAACTATTGATTTTAATTCAGGATGTAGTGTAGTAGCATTAATGGGTACAACACTACATTTATACGAGACATCATTAAAAGAAACTGTTCGAGAAGATGATATTAGATGCCGTTTTGCTGAATCTATGCTTGGTGTCCTTCATGTTTTGGAGAGAAAGGTTCTGAATCGGGTAAATGTTGTACACTATCATATCCTTGCTACTTCTATTAGTGGAGGTGGAGGAGCAAATGGTATGGATATGATGCCAACCTCTATTGTTAGTATTGACACTACTGGTTCATTTACTTCAGCTGAAAAGACTCGTCTACATCAACTTGCTGAGCCTCTTGGTATGACAAGTACTATTGCAGAGTGTTCCTCTGTTTCTGATCTTGTAGATGCTATTGAATCCCTTGGTGTTTCTGTGGTACATGATATCTTAACGAACCGTGAAGACTTGGAAGCACTGCTCACACCCACTCTAGTTCAGCTTCTTCCTGAGGCGGAGGAAGAAGAAGAGGTTGAGGAAATGGATAAAAAGCCCCCTGCAAAGCGTGTCTCTGCAACTGTGGGAAAAGAAGTAACCTCAAAGTCTGGGTCTGGAGGTGGTGGTGGTAGCAGCAATAGTACTACTGCTGCCGCAGCCGCAGCTGCGAAGGTGGCTATGGCTGCAGCAACAGCAACAAGTAAAGATGAAGAGGAAGAAGAAGAGGAAGAAGAGGAAGAGGAAGAAAAGACTCCTAAGAAGAAGGGAAAGGGTAAGAAAAAGGAAGAAGTAGAAGAGGAACCCGAAGAAGAGGAAGAGGTGGAAGAAGAAGAGGAGGAGGAAGAAGAAGAAGAGGAGGAAGAAGAGGAGGAGGAAGAGGAAGAGGAAGAAGAAGAAGTGCGCACACCTCCTGTGAACAACAATGGTAACAAGAAGAACTTGCCACCGGCGAAGAATCGATCGGCCCGCGGAAGGGCTCAGGCTACGGAAGAGTTAACTCTTGAGAAGGACGATGAGGAGGAGGATGAGGAAGAAGAACAATATCATCATCATCATCAGAAATCACGTGCGCCGCCCACAAGAAAGGCCACTCAAGGCGGTAAGCGAGCACCACCTCCAGCGGCTGTAGAGGATGATGAGGATGAGGATGAAGATGATGAAGAGGAGGAACTCGTAGAGAAAGCCCCGCCCCCACCACCGCCGCCTGCTGCTGCTGGAAATAAGAAGGGCCATATGGTAAAGAAAACATCATCACCACCTCCTCCTGCGGCAGTAGATGAGGATGAGGATGAGGATGATGAAGAAATTGAAGAAACACCTCGCACTCCTCCTCCACCGCCGCCTCCTCCTTCAGCGAAGAAGGGCGCCCACGCAAGACGTGCTCCTCCCACACCCCCAACACCTCCTGTCGCTGCTGCTGCAAGTGAAGATGAGGACAGTAAAAGCCTTGAAGATGAACAAGAGGAACAAGTGGTGGTAACCTCACGCCCACGAAACCGTACTAGACGAATGGCTCGTGCTTTACCGCCACGTGTTGATAACGATGATGATGATGATGATCGCTGGTTCCAAAAGACAAGGCGTTAAATTTTTACTTTTTTTAAAAAAAAAAAGAAAATTTTGAGAAAGAATAAATGTTATCTTTTGCTTTTTTGTTTTGTTTTGTTTTGTTTTATCTGATGTTTGTTTGTTTTTTCACCTTTTAATAGAGTGTGTATGTTTGCTTCTTTCTTCGTATGTTCCGTATTTTCTCTATATGGGGAGATGCTGTGTATGTGTATGTGTCAGTGTTTAATTAACTGGAAAAAAAGGGGGCGATATTTTGTTGGTATTAGTGCATCATTTTTTTATTTTTATTTCTGTTTGTGCCCATATCTGTGTATATGTCTCCTGCGTGTGTGACACACCAACCATAGAAGAGAAATGAGAAGAAGTTGGCAATAATAGTTTATATTTAAAAGGGGGGAATATATATATACTGTTTGTTTGCCTTTGGTATTAACTTCTTTGGTTTCCGTTAGTGCCCCCAATTTCTCTACAGTCACTTTTTTTATTTTATTATTATTATTATTATTATTATTATTATTATTATTATTATTATTATTATTATGGTTTCTTGACTTTGTATTCGTCGTTTAATATGGGATATCCCTTGCTATTTTTAATTAGTTTTTGCTGGTGAATTATTGCAATGGTGATTCATTTATTTTGGCCAGGGAGGAATGATGGTTAGAACTACGCCCATACATAGATAGTAATAGAAGAAACGAAGGAAAGGACTACACGCAAACATATACATATACATACATATGCACACACAAATATACATAGAGGCGCATATACATACACATACTCATACGCACGCATACGCGTAAAGACACATACATACATACATACATAATTACTTACTTACTTTTTATTTGTTTTAAGAGAAAGAGGAAAGTATATTTAACTGCTGCTTTAAGCCATTCTTACTATAAATGTGATGAAGGAAGGAAGCTGCAGCAAAATATCCCCTCATTTAAAAAGAAAATAAAAATCTGAAAAGAAAGAAGAAAAAAAAAGGTATTCTCCCCCTCTTCAGTTGTGACCTCTTTCCTCTCTCTCTCATTATGCAACAAGGAATGATGAAAATGAGACGCGAAGAAAATCAAAAAGAAAAAAAAGACGTACATAGAGCAGAGGTCTGGGATCTGTTCTTTTTTTTTTTTTCATATTTTCTTTCTGTGTTTATTCTCACATTTTCCATCTCTTTTACGGTATTTATTTCGTATTTTTTCTTGTTTCTGCTTCTTTTTTTTTTTTTTGTAAAGTTGAGGAAGCGCCACAAGGCAAATCTAACAATAGAAGCGAAGTCTAATACCCTGTTTAAGGGGAAAAGAAAAAAAAAAAAAAGAACTGATAGGTTGTGTATTGCAAAGCGGAACAAAAGAAGAAAGAAAAAATTAACAGAAGAAGGAGAAAAAGAAAATAATAAAAAAAAAAAAAAATAGGCATCCCCTTCTAGTGATTACGCTACTTGTATATATTGGTATATACACCTATACGAGTAGTATCTAGGAAAAAAAAAGAAAAATACAGAAAAGATAAATAGTAACAAGAAAAGTAGAAAGATCTTGCATACGTTTTTGATTTGTGCAAATGGGAAAGAAAGCGGAACAGAAGCGCAAGGAGAAGATTGTCGAGGACAAGACCTTTGGCCTCAAGAACAAGAACCGGAGTGCGAAGGTGCAGTCTTACATCCAGTCTGTAAGCAAGAGCGTAACCCAGGGCAACCAAAATGACCGCAAGCGCACAGAGGAGCTCGAGGCGAAGCGCAAGGCTCGTGAGGAAAAGAAGGCCTTTGAGGCTGAAATGGCGAAACTCTTCCGTGGTGTTGACGGGGCCCCTCCCCCTGGCGGCCGCAGTGGTTCCGCCAACACGGACGAGGCCGCGGAGGAGACGGACCGCAACTTTGGGTGTGCGCCCGACGAGTATCTCTTCCGGCCGGAGGACTTTGACGAGGTGCAGCACGACGAGCGGCGGCTGGAGGAGCAGTTGGAGGCGGAGCGGGAGGCGCTGCGGGGCCGCACGGACTTGACGCCCGTCACGGAGGAGTCCTTTCAGGCGTGGAAGGCGGCGCAGCGGGCGGCAGCGGCAGCGGCGGAGGCGGCGCGTGTGCGGCGGGCGAAGGCGGGCGAGGGCGGCAGTCGACTGCGCGGTTGGGACTTGTGGCAGATGGACCGCGAGTTGTTTGTGGACGACGAGGATGCGGACGAGGCGTACGAGCGTGAAGAGGAGGAGGAAGAGGAAGAGATGGGCGGGGCGTATGCTGGTGAGGGAGAGGATGTGGATGAAAGCGCCTATGATCTTTCGTAAGTATATATATATGTCTCTGTGTGTACATGTGTGTTTGTTTGTATGTATGTGTGTGTGAGAGAGAGAAAGAAAGAAAGAAAGAAAGAAGAGAGGGATGCAGAGTTGGATGATTTGGTATATATTACCATCATCAATGTACACCAGAAATGAAAGGTTGACAGTCGTGTAGATGATGTTTATATACATGATGGATTAGGAAAATAAAAAATAAAAAGGAGAAAAGAAGATATGCTACCATCATTCCGTTCCTCGTGTAATTGATTTAATAATATTTCCTTTTTCGTTTGTTTGTTTGTTTGTTTTTCGCTGTTTTTCTTCATCTACACACCTTCTCATTCTGGATACGTGCGTATGGGTCACGTCTTCTTTTTTTTTTCTTTTCTTTTTTTCGTCCCCATACACACGCAGGGAGTATATATATATATATATATTCCCTGCATTTTTCTTTCTTTCTATATCTATATATATATATATATGTGTTATTGTATGTTTGTGGACTTGTAGATGTATCCCTTTGACGATACACTGGTACAAGAATATTTACCACTGCATATTCTTTCTCATATTCTCTCTTTTTTTTTTTCTTTTTTTTTCTCTTTTCTAAATTATTTGTTTCCCTACTGTTTCTATTTTTATCAATACCACATCCACAATAATTGTTATTATTTTGTTGTTGTTGTTGTTTGTTTATCTTTCTATTACGTTAAAGGGTATTCATCGACATCTTCTAAACGTGGTAACCTTTTTTATTTATTTATTTACACTTACACATATATTTGCATTTACCAAAGAGAAAAAAAAAAAAGAAAAAAGAAAAAAAAGGATGAGACTTCGCTCCTTTCTTCTGCGGTATTATCCGCCAGGGATTACGCTGGAGTATGAAACCTCATCTGGTGAAGTGGGTGAAAAGACAATAGATCTCCTTACACTTACACCGCAGACAAATTTAGAGCGGCTTGCCGCAGAAATTATTAAGGAGGAACCACTACTTACGGAAAAGTACGCCTCGCAGTTAATTACATATCTGCAGAGGTTAGTAGATAAGCTAAAGGCTGGGTATAATACGAAACAGACGTTTTACCTTTTTAAGACTCTCCGAGCACATATGTTACCCTTAACGAATTGTGCCTTCAATAAAGGGGGAGATTCTTTTATTACAGGCAGTTATGATCGCACATGTAAAGTGTGGGAAACCGCTACTGGTTCTGAAATTGTGTCATTAGAAGGACACCGTAATGTTGTGTACTCGGTATCATTTAATAATCCTTATGGAAATCGAGTGGCTACAGGAAGTTTTGATAAAACGTGCAAAATATGGGATGCCAGTACGGGTCAATGCTATCATACATTAACGGGTCATATGGCTGAGATTGTGTGTATGTGTTTTAATCCACAAAGTACACATCTCGCATCTGGATCAATGGATTATACAGCTAAAGTATGGGATTTGGAAACTGGTAGAGAAGCCTATACACTACTTGGACACACCGCAGAGATTGTATCCCTTAACTTCAATACCCATGGAGATCTTATTTTAACTGGAAGTTTTGATGCGAGTGCCAAATTATGGGATGTACGTACAGGTAAATGTGTTCACACACTTTCTTCTCATCGTGCGGAGATTTCATCTACACAATTTAATTTTGCCGGAAACTTATGCATAACGGGATGTATTGATCGTTCCTGTAAAGTCTGGGATGTGCGAGCGGGGAAGTGTCTCTCCACACTACGAGGCCACACAGATGAAATTCTCGATGTGGCCTTCAGCACCACGGGTTCAATGATTGTCACTGCGAGTGCTGATGCCACTGCCCGTGTTTACGATACCGCCTCTTGTAATTGTATTGCCACGCTGTTGGGACATGAGGGGGAAATCTCAAAAGTGCAGTTTAACCCGCAGGGAACGAAAATTATCTCCGCCGCGAATGATAAGACGTGTCGGGTGTGGAATATAGAAACAGGGGAAGCCATTCAGGTTCTCACAGGCCATAATGATGAGATATTCTCATGTGCCTTTAACTATGAAGGAGATACAATCCTTACAGGATCAAAGGACAATACATGTGGAATTTGGAAAAGTTAAAAAAAAAAAAAAAAAGGGAGAAAAAAAAAATATGTGTCTAAAATTATTGTGTATTTGTGTGGATTTTACCCTTTTTTTTGTATTTACACAATTCTTTTTATTATTATTATTATTATTATTATTATTATTATTATTTTTGGATACTATTTTAACTTATCTCTATTCAAATTACCAGCTTGTTCATGGAGTTGTCCTTCTCTTTCT